AATAGCCTTTTTCCCAGGTGAATAAAAATGCATCTACCTTCTAAATATAGCAGGGGGAAACTCTGTGGAGTAAAGGTTAAATCACAGCATTCAGCGTGGTCTCAACATCTACTAGTCTAGTAGCTGTTAATCTCCTACTCTCATTCAACCTATTTCCTGATCTATAAAATGGGCAGTATAGCACCATAGCTACCATACAAAACTCTTTTGAGGATTAAATAATATATCTGAAAGAACGTAGTAAACCAAAAAACCTATCTAAACCATCATTCTTAAAACTTACCATATTGGTTACTAAATATGGTCACAAAATAGTACTGTTTCTAACATGAAAAACAGAAATAGATGTGCAAAAGATACATTTAGAACTATTCACCAAATTATACCTATAATCATAGTCAGTAAATGTCTCAGTGAGACATACAGTGAGTAAATTACATTATTAAACACACTCCCTTCAAACCTTCGGAAGTGAATTTGAAAACAAACACAAGAGTAATCCTGACAATCTATTTGGACGGATTAGCTGAGGAAATCAGAGTGAAATTACCTATTAACTATGAATTAAGAAACTGAGAGCCAGTCAGACCAATAGCACCGTGGGTAGGGCGCTTCACTTTCCTGGCACACAACTGACTCAGGTTTGATCCCTGGCAACCCCCCCGCCCCTCCCAGCACCACCAGGAATGATTCCTGACGCAGAGCCTGGAGTAACCTCTGAGCACTGCTGGGTTGGCCCAAAAAAAAAAGAGGAAAAAAAAAAGAAAGAAACTGAGAGCCAGTGACTATAACAAACAGTCTTAAGGGGCTGGGGCAATAGTAAAGCAGGTAAGGCACTTGTCTTGTATAGGTGGCTGACATCCCAGGCATCCCACATGGTCTTCCCGAGCACTGCCAGGAGTAATTCCTGCGTGCAAAACCAGAAATAAACCCTGAACGTGGCCAGATGAGGCCCAAAAATAAAAAGTGTTAAAAAAATTTTATGGGGTTTAGATAGTACAGAGGTTAAAGCACTTGCCTTCCACGTGGCTAGCCAGCCCAGGTTCAAGCCTGGGCATCATATATGGTCCCTCAAGTGTTCCCGGATTATAGTCAGGTGAGTGAGCCCTGAGCACAGCTGGGTGTGGGCCTCCCCCCTCAAAAAAAAAAGTTCTTATAAAGGAAAAACACATACATGGAAGTGTAACAGGTCATCAGTTCCGGGGGAAAAAAGTGAACTAGAAGTGATAACAAGAGGCATATACATGCATGTATGTATGCAAAGATGAAGATGATCATAATCTTTACTTTTAGTATAAAGATACAAAGGAAATCAGCTAAAACAAATACTCTTACGTTGTTTAGAAATGTCAAGAATAGAACTCTCAAAACGTCACAGAACAAACGTCTTTACTATTCTCTTATAGTGAATATATCACTCTTTTTAAAAATCAGTCCTAAATGTTAAAAGTGCTAACCTACTAATCCATCATGACTTTCAAGAAGAACCTCCTTTAGGGGCCAGAGAGTCAGTGCAATGAGTAGGGCTTTTGCCCTGCACACAGCTGACCAGGGTTCAATCCCCAGCTCTCCATATGGTCCCCTGAGCACCGCGAGGAGAGACCCCGAACAGTCAGGAATAAGCCCTGGTGGGGCCCCGAAAACAAACAAAAATAACATTCTGTAATGATGTGGCCAAGATTTTTCTTTTACTTCCTATTACACAATATTTAATGTTTACAAGGCTGAGCTCTATAACAATTCTTAGCCCCCTTCACTTCTGAGTCAATGCTAACGCTCTGATAAAGTGAATTATAAATATTCCACTGTCTAGAACAAACAACCAGAGTCAATTATCAGATGACTTTAAAATCAATTAAAAATCTTATTTTAGTCCCAAACTCACATAAAGTTAAGGACAAGAGTAGAGAATATAAATCATTAAGAAATTATTTTTTAATAATTTAACATCACTAAAATTTATCACTCAAGCATCTTAAACCTAAACCCAGAGGTTCAAAAACAAAAGTCCCTAGGCTAAAAAGATGGCTCCAAAGATGGCACATTTAGTGGGGGAAAGCCCCAGCCCTTTCTATCCCCTGGCACAGCATGGCCCCTGCCAGCACCACGGGAGACAACCTCTGAAGTGTGGTGAGCAACCCTCAGCACCAACAGATGAGGTCCATAAATAAATCAATATGAAATCCCTTTCACAACAACTAGCTTCTTTTGAACTTCTCATTTATTCGATCTTCTATGTATACTCACATATCTCACTGACCATGGATTTGTAATAATAAAAAGCTATATTTAAGGACCATGGTCCCCTCCAATAAAAGCATGATATTCCAGGCATCCATCTGGCTATATGATCGATCACTTTTCTCCCAGAAATCTTCAGATCTAATTCATGATGCACATCATTTACATTTTCTAATTTGTAAATACATAGTGTGCTATGTCAAATTTTAATTCTCCAATTAGTTATATTTGCCTTAATCATTTTTATACCACAGATGATAGAATCTAAATAATGAGGCAATCCTAAAGAGATTTTCATTATATATATACATATATATATGTCACTCTGTATCCATCCCCACCCCCAGCAATTTACATTCCAATCAAAACAAATAAATGGAAAGTACACCAATCTGTACCCAAGGATTCTTTTCGACCCCAGAGAGCAGTCCAGTCCTCCCAGGGGCAATTGTCATCTAACCACTTTGTTAAACAATGAGCTAGGTAAACCCATCTTTCCAACTTGATTATCAAATGCTTCCAAGATGAATCAGTAGATGTTACAACAGAATCATCACAAAGTCAAAGTAACCATGAAGAGTCTTTTCTGGCTACATAAATTTTTCTCAGAAACGTATCTACAATGTTAAAAGCTGTCCCAGGCAATATAATCATTACACTATTAAAATCCAGTCCTATACCTGGCCTGGTCACAGAAAAGTGTTCAATAACATTAAAAATCCTTAAAACTTCGTAAATTTTAATAACTATACTGAAAATTTCTCTGCTGGCTTTATACTTTCTACTTGTTCTACAGCCTCTCAGAAACTACGAAAGCAATACAGAGCGATGTTCAGTTATTTCTGAGGGGCATGTTAAGTATAAAAATAGCATCAGCCCCAATACCATGACAATCTCAACCAGAGACAACATCCCAAGCTAAGCAAAACAGGTCATTCTGCCTCCGAAGCAATGATAACAAATACATGATCAATAACTTATAAATTATTTCCACAAATATGACAATCTCAGTGTTTGAGATGAAGAAAATCTGCTAAGTGTCCATAAAGTATTGCTGGTAGAAAGATGCCTTTGAGTACTGCAATAATCAAAGCTACTATTTTAAGAATCCCTACCACTCTTCCAAAAAAACCAAATTACAAATTAAGGCAGACGTAAAGATATTTAAGACCCTAAACAAACAAGAATAAAAACTACACAATAATAAGAAGTCAGAAAAAGTGAAGTTTGGCATGGTGGTGAGATGCTACGCTAGATCAATAATATACTTTTATTTAATACCTTAATATTTTATACCTAAATTAACCTCTCAGGAGCTGACTTATAACAAACACTATTTAAATGGAGTGGTTAAAAAAATAACTGCCACAGAAAACATTTAATGCCACTCCTGTTAAAAGAACTACAAATCTACTCAGTTGCAAATTTTCCTTACAAATTAACCTTTGGTTGTAACTGAAAATAAAATTCAGCCCATAAAAAGAACATAAAACCGAATCTGTGGTTGGTACTTGCCTTGCCCATGGCCCACCCAGGTTAGATCCCCAGTGTCAAATTTAGCATCTCATGTGGTTCCCAAAGCACTGCCTGGCCTAATTCCTACGTGCAGAGCCAGAGCATCACAGGGTATGAAAAACAACCACAAAAATATGATCAAATCCATTCAAAATTCTCATTATCCTAAAAATTGTTTTTAACAATTTGACTTGGGGGCTGAGTGATAGCACAGCAGGTAGAGCGTTTGCCTTGCACGCGGCCGACCCAGGTTCGATTCCCAGCATCCCATATGGTCCCCCGAGAACCGCCAGGAGTAATTCCTGAGTGCAGAGCCAGGAGTAACTCCTGAGCATCGCCAGGTGTGACCCCCCCCCCAAAAAAAAAAAACACAAAATAAAATTAACTTGGAGGGCTACTACAAAATCAAGACATCTTATATTTATAGTATTTTTTCCCTTTTAGGTGTCAGGGACCAAACCCTGGGTTACTTGGAGCACTACCAGTCAGTGCTGCTACTTGAAAGAAGAAAATGAGGAGAAAAAAAGATTATTTCCAATTAAAAAGATAAAATTCTATTTTAAAAATATAACCAAAGGGTGGAGGGAAAATAGCTTGGACATATATATATATTTAAATTTAAAAGATTTAGGATTATGGGGGCAGGAGCAATAGTACAGCAGGTAATTTGCCTTGCAAATAAATGGCTGACCAGGAGTTCCGAGTTCCCCAGCATTCCACATGGTCTCCAAGCCCACTAGGAGTGATCCCTGAGCACAGAGCCAGGAGCAAGCCCTGAGGACTGCCAGGAGTTGCAAAAAGAAAATGAAAGATTATTTTAGACACTTAAGTAAAAAAGTTTTTCTTTCTTCCTGAATTATGTAGAACACAGTAAATAATGCACATAAAATCTGCCCAAGGTAACCAAACAGAACTTAATACAATGGGACCTACACACTATACATAAAACCTATACATTCTACACCAAAGAAAATCTATACACCAGAGTGTGTTTTTTTCTAATTTACATCACCTTAATTGTGTTGACACCAAAAGTTCATACAGTAAGAACATAGAATAGTAACAGTTGAAAGAAACCACAAGTTATTCAAGTACTTAGAACATAAAGATGTCAGAGATGTGCTAAATTCCAGTCTTCTTTTTTAAAGCTTAACTCAGAAAACAGAAGTTTAGGATGAGAGAAATTATTTGGCATTTCAAACTTAAATACCTACAGAAGAGCAAACAAAAAAATATCAACTTACCTGGTTTCTTTCTGGACTTTTCATGCCCTAGTTGTCCTAGATCATTACATCCACAAGTGTATACTGTTCCATCATCCAGAACAAACACCGTGTGTCTCAGTCCGCATCCTACATCTCGGACCTTTTTATTTATAAAAAAGTCACTTTTCCTGGGCTCTAGTACAATTTCATCGTCAATTCCACCCAAACCTAGTTGTCCAAAAGATGCATTTCCCCAGCACAACATGTTTGTAATCCTTCTGGTCTTCCAGTTTCAATAAAGGATTCCCTTCTGAAACACTGGAAAGATGGAGGGATCCCTATGTCTGAGAGATAGAAAAAAAAGTTAGTGTGACGTCAAAGGAAACATAGTATATAATTGCTCTTTCAAGTGCTATGCTTCAGTAATTACATAGTAAACATAAAATCTATTTTAGAACGTGTTTTGTATCATTCAGTTTCGAAAAGGAATCAAGGGAACAGCATCTAGTATAAAGTGCTAGTCTTGCACTAGGAAAATCCCGGTAGCACCCCCAAGGTGTATGGTCCCCTCCGAGTACTGCCAGGAGTGATCCCTGGGTCCATGCAGGTGTGGCCCCAAAACAAACGCAGACAAACAAGCATACATCAAAATGGGCGTTTTTTAAATGATGACTAAGTACTGTATACAGACATTTGGAGAGAATTTATGACTCTCCCTGATTCTTGGCAACATTTTAAAACGTCACTGCTTTAGACTTCTTGATATCACGTTACAGACGTACTAAGCACCTCTGCGAAGTTAAATTCCATTATTCTTGGCATTTCACTCTAAATAATTTTAAGGGAATCCGAACTAAGACGTCCTCCACTGCCCAGCCCCAAAGCAAGAGAAAAATACTAATCACCGACAGAAATATAAGACCTAGAAATCCCTCTTCAATCACAGCATAATCCAGCTTTCAAATACCTACCTCCACATCAACAGAAAAGTGAAGTTCTTATCTGCAACAGAAATAAAACCAACAATGGAAACTTGAAATCTCCCATAAGGTCAATGACAATCCCAATCATCCACACCAATGGGGCCTCAGACTAAAACTGACATGTGCTCTAGTCCACCGCCTTCGAAGAGCTCCAGCCAGTCCCCTTGGAAGATCAGATTCTACAAATCCAAACACTCACTGCCGACCTCTGGGCAGAACTAAATCAAGGCACCTAACCGGAATCCAAAAAGATGCCCTTTGCGGGATTCTCCCCCCAAAGTCCAACCGCGACCGGGGTAAGAAAACAGAAAAAAAAAAAAATCCTTAAATCAGGGCGATCTGCAACTCTGATTATTTGCAGATCGGGGGGAGGGGAGGGGCAGAAAAACGAGACTTCAACCAAGCCCAGCGCTGCCAGTGGCTCCAAAAGAGAGGAACGGGGAGGGTCGGGGCGCACGCGTCCGCTGACGGCATCCGTCGAACTTTCCAGCCCGCTGGACGAAGAAGGCACGCGCTGGCCCGCTTGGAAAGAGGCAGCTAACAAAGAGCGGCGGGCCCGGCGCCCGCACGGGCTTTCCCCGGAGCGCGGCTCGCACCGTCGCGGGAAGCGCGGCCGCCGGCCCGGGAGCCCCGCGTTCCCCGCGCAGCCAGACCGGCCGGGGCCCCGCGGCGCGACCCGCGCTCCCTCCCCGCCCGCCGGGGCTCCGGGCCGCGCTCCGAGGGGCGAGGGCCGGATCGCGCGCGCGCGGCCGCCCCCGCCCACCCCGGCCTTGAGGAAAGAGAAGTCCTCCGGGGGGCGCGGCGCGGCAACAAGTGGGGCGGGGGTCCTCCGCCCACCTGGGCTGGCTGGCGGCGGCGCCCCTCGCCGGCACACGCGGCCCGAGCGGCGGCGGCGCGCGGGGCCCCAGCCCGAGGCCCGTCCCCGGGAGCCGCGCTCAGCCGCCCTGGGCCCGGGTCCCCCGCCCCGCCAGCCGCGCCGGGCCCGGCCGTCCCCGCCCGGCCCGGCCCGGCCTCCCGGCCCCGCCGCCGTCACACAGCCCGGCCCGCCGGGGCGACGTCTCACCCGCGGCCGCGAGGGGCAGCCGGGCGGCGGCGGCGGCCACTCCCGGCGACCCGGACCCTCCCTCCCGCGCGCGGCGGCGAGCACGCGGGGCTCCTCGGCGGCGACGCGCCCGGGAAACTTTACCCGGCTCTGGGCGGGGGAGCGCCGCCCCCGCCGTCCGCGTCCGAGACGGCCGGCAGAGCCCCCGGGACCCGCGCGGGAGGCCGAGGCCGCGGCGGAGAGCGCCAGGGGCGGGGAGCGGCGCGGGGCGAGACCGGGGAGGAGGAGGAGGGGGAGGAGGGGGCGGGGGCGAGGAGGAGGAGGAGGAGGAGGGGGGAGGAGGAGGGGGCGGCGGGCGAGGGGGCGGGGACGGCGCGGGGGGAGGGGGAGGGGCGCGCCGGAAGTGGCCTCGGAGCACGCGCCCGAGCTGCGCCCACTTCCCGGCCCGCGCGCCTGCGCACGAGCCCGCCCCGGGCGGCTCGCCGGCCCCTGCGCCTGCGCGCTGGGCGGCTGCGCGTCGCTCCGGAGGCGACGCCGAGCCGGTCGGGGGAGAAGACTGGCGCGGGTGTGTGTGTGTGTGTGTGTGTGTGTCTGTGTCATTCGTGTTGTGACAGCGGCTCGGCGTGCGTGCGCGAGGGCACGTAAAGAAAGTTTCTGGAGGCTTCTCGTTAGAAAAAAAAGATGAAAGAGACAGTTCTTCGGGTATTGTTGCTTCCTGTGACAGAGATTTCCAGATTTGACAGAGACTGCTGATTTTGGTCTTTTTTTTTTTTTAAATCCAAGGGGCATTTGAAATAGCAGAGGGAAGAAAACGAACATGACCAGAGGCAAGTGTCGACCTTGTATACGATGCCTCCACCTCACGAATATGACTAGAGGCACGTGTTGACCTTTTCTGTGATGCCTCCACCTCAAATCGGAGCTCCTCTCAAGGAAGGAGAAAGACAACCAAGACTGAACGACTGGAGCTGATGGGACGCCCTCCAAACTACTGGAGTTACTAGGAACACCAGCCACGGGCTCAGACTCCCTTCGTTTTCTGAGCTTTCTCTCTGAGATAAACTTGCAATTCAGGGTCTCCTTTACTCAGAGGAAATTCCTTCCTAAAAACGAACTCTGAGTTTCCTGTGCTGTTTGGATTCCATCCCCAGCCCCCCCCCCCCCCCATGTAATCTGAGCCCCGCTCAGAGCCAGGAGCAAACCCTGAGCACCACCAGGTGTGGCCCCAAACCCCAAAATCAAACAAAACAACAGCACACCCCCTCCCCTTGCAAAAATAACAAAAACAAAAAGGAAAACTAGAAGCAAGGTACTTGGGCGATTCTATGTTAGACTTGGCTAGAAGCAGCTTCAGAGTAAAACTTGAGAACCCTTGGGGCTAGAGATGGTACAGCAGATAGGGCGTTCGCCCTGCAAGTGACCAACTCGGGTTCAATCTCCAGCATCCCATATGGTCCCTTGAGCACCGCCGAAAGTTAGCCCTGAGTGCAGAGGCAGGAGTAACCCCAGAACACTGCCAGGGGTGGCCCTAAAGCAAAAAGACAAAACCTGAGAATCCAGAAAGCGGTCCCAAATTGGCTGTACTTTATCTTGCCGCAAAAGTGTCTTTCAGGCTAGGAAGTATCTATGATGTCTAAGTATGTTTATGCCTTTCCGAAGGGTGCGATAGCAAAATACCACAAATTGGATGGAGAAAGACAAATCTATTCTCTCCTAGCCATGGAAGGCAGAAGTCTGAAATTGAAGTGGTGATAGTTTGGTTTACTCTTAGACTCTGAGCAGAAGAATTTTCTTTCCATACTTCTCCACTCGGTACTAACAATCCTTGGCATCCTGCGGTTTGTAGGTACATCACTCTAATCTAATCCCTGCTTCACGGTCCACTTGGTGGTGGTCTTGGGTTTCTGTGTCCAAATTTCTTTTAAGGAAACGAGTCATTCTTCCATGGTGCATTATGACCTTTGAACTGGATCTAGGTTACATTAGGTTTTCAACATTTCTCTTCAGGGAACCAATTTCAACTCCCAAGTATGTGTCAAATATAAAAGTAAAAAACAAGATGCTTAAGAACGGAAAGGGGGGTGGGGATCCACAGTTTCAATGTTGGGACAGGTGGCAATGCCCACAAAGTATAATTTATTCTTATTTTGATGGTTTCATTGTTCCTGTATGTTTCATTTTGCGTTGGTTTAGGCTTGGGTTAGGGCCTGGGGGCCACACCTGACAATGCTCAGGGGCTTCTCCCAGCTTTACACTAGGGGATTGCTCTTGGCGGTGCAAAAGGAACTATGGGAGTTTCAGAAACTGAGACAAGCTCCAACATACCAAACATAGGCTCCACCTTGGCCTCTCCCACCCACTGCAGAACTTTTATTGTCTTTCACTCTAAAGACTTGATGTCTCAAATATTAAAGTGCAAGTTTGAAGTTGAGCTTTCCTCCCCACCCCGACCAGGGCTCCGGCAGCCGAAGACCTCCAGGACCAGCCACCACCATGCTGAGACCACTCTCCGCACACATGAAGGTACTGGCAGAGGGACAAAGACACGCGGGTTCCGGGGCCGAGATCTCCAAGCCTACTCGAATTGGAGTCGAGCATCTTCCACCCAGATCCTCCAAATTCCAGTAGGCGGGGGTCACACCCACCACCTGGCCCCCTGGCACCGTGTAATCCCATCAGCGGCCAAGACTCAGAGACTATAAAATCCAGCTCCCGGAACCTCGCGGCCGCATTCATCTTATCAGGACATCTTTTTATGACATCTTATTATCTCATTCCTACTTGGACAAACTTGCAGGCTATCGAATGTAGCCTGCCCACAGGGCAGAGTCTGGCAAACTCCCCGTGGCGTACCAAATATGCCAAATACCAGTAACAATGATGGGTCTCATTCTCCTAAAGAGCCTTGAATATAATCTCAGGGCTAGGATGAAAGAGACGTTACTGGGGCCTGCTCGAGGCAATCGACGAATAACAGGATGATGAATGATGAATGAAAATGAAGTTTGAAGTTGGAGTCTTTAAGATATGAATTCTGTACTATAGCAATTTAACACTAAAATCTGAGTTATAAAGCATAATTAAACTATCTTTCTTAATCTTTAACTGGATATTTCTAGTAAGTGAAAACTGATTTCTAGAAATTTCGGGAGATGACAGTTTGGAAATCATCTTAAAACCCTTGTCTGGGTGCTGTTTATCACTTGTGGTCAGATAACACTAGCAAGAACTATACGTCTAGATTCAAGTGGGACAAGAGACATTCCTTTGTTCCCATATATTAAATATTCTAGAGAAGCAAAAAAAAAATTGGGGTCACGTATTTCTGCTACATGAAAGGATTTCTTTTGGGATATTTTTAAAGATAGATCTTGCTTATAGAAAGTGCAAAAAATTCCTGTATGTTCCTTTATATATGTTAAATCTCTGATACTGTGTGGTGCAACAAAAAAAAAATACAGTAGCTTCTGATAATCTTTAAGATGAAACAAGTACAGTAAGTATTCACTTAGAGTTTTAATAAACTGACTTTAAGCCCCCCAAAAATATCGTGAAAAGGCATTGAATAATCTTTTTTATCCAACATTAATTTTCCTTTTTTCTATTATTGCTAGGAAATTGCATTAATTGAGAACCTTCTATATAAGAACGCAGGATTATTAGATAATATAGACTAGCTGTATAAAGGCAACATAAGATTTAAAAATATGATCTCTAATGATAGTTTGTCTAGATTAAAAATTTAAACTTATAGGCCATATCATACCTTTGTCTTATTTTACCAAACACACCTATAGTCATTTACTAAGGATTTATTTTACAAAAAAAATTACATCTTGGTTTCTATAAATAGGTGTGTTGATAATTGTCAGCTGGTAGTTATGGGAATCTAATAACTTGTGCAGTGCAGATATATGACAAGCATTTCATAAGGGTTAGCGTTTTATCATTATTAGTGTTCTCAAGCAAGTAGTAAAAACATTTGGGAAAGCAAACCAAACCACCAATAGTAAAATTTAATTTAGAACAAAATATTTGCCTGAATTATTTTTATTTTAAAAGTAATAATCAAGAGCCAGGGAGATAGGTCAGCCCTATCTGATAGGGAAAATTAACTTTGAAACCTGGCACCACATGGCCCTCTGCCAATTCCACAGAGGAGGCCCTAGTGGTACCTGAGCACTACTGGGGTGATTCTGAAGCCTCCTGGCATTGCAGGGCCCAAGCAGCTTCATATATGTGGACCCTGCCTTTGAACTATGCTACTAGTTGGCTGAGTATTTTCAGGAGTGAAATACAGAGCACTGCTTAGAAATCCCCCCCCCCAATAAAATTTTTTTTCTTTTTGGGTCACACCTGACGATGCACAGGGGTTACTCCTGGCATTGCTCAGGGAATCATATGGGATGCTGGAAATCCAACCCAGGTCAGCCACATGCAAGGCAAACACCACCCACTGTACTATCGCTCCAGCCCCCCAAAATAAAATTTTTAAGACAATTAAGAGACCACTTAACTGGTACTTCATTGTCCACTCTTCCACTGGCTTTCCTTCAAGTTATTCCACTCATGCTGAACCTCACCTCACTTACTTCATTTAGATCTCTATTCATGTTACCTCTCCAAATTTCCTTGATCACCCTTTCCAAACAGCTACCTTCTCATTCTCTAAAAGTTACCTGCTTTCGTGGCTCTAGAGCCACAGAAGCCAGTCTCATAATTATCTGACTCTCGGCAGAAATACTTCCAGGCTTAATAAGTAAAATATCAGAAATCCAAAATGGCGCAGCCGCAATAGCGGCTGTGCATCATCATTTGATTCTTGTAACCAGCTATAGAAGCAAATTATTTCTGAATGTCTTTTCAACAGGTCTGATTTGGGGGTGTAAACTCTACATAATAATAATGCATCTTTTGTCAAAACAATGAATCTAATCAAAGTAGATAGAGTGTTAACTAGAATTCATCTGCCTCACAGGCATTGGGAGGGTTGGGAGGGAGGTATATTGGGGTTCTTCTTGGTGAAAAATAAGTACTGGTGAAGGGAAACGTGTGTGATGATTGCATGACCGAGACTTAAACCTGAAAGCTTTGTAACTTTTCCCACAGAGATTAAATAAATTAATAAATTTTTTTAAAAAGTTACCTGCTTTATATCTTTCCTATTCATTAACATGTATATTCAATATTTAACATATAAATATATAAATCATATCACTTGTTATCATT